TACATGTCTATAAATTAAGTGTGGAAAAGACTCCATTTTTCTTAGAGACTAGTTATTGAAGTATCATTGTATATAAAATCCACTTGTGGAATTCATAGGATCACCTAACTATATATACAACTGAAAAAGAAATTCAGATTTTCTCAGTCAAAACATTGGAAGAATCTCACAGTTAAAACTTAAGCTTTTCTTACCCAGAAATACCTTTAATGATACTTTTAGATAATTCTGAAAAATTACCCCAATTCTTTATTTTGAAATGAGTAAGTAAAGAGCAGAATGGTATTACTTGGACATATATCAAGAGTGAAATAGAGCAAATGAAACACAAAGGCAATAGGAAATAACAAATAAAATTTCAAAATGTTATCTCCTGGAATTTATTTTCTCCTCAGAAAGACAGAAGTTTGGAAGGGTCAAGAGACACTTGTGATCCAGAAGGAATTCTGGACGTGTGAATCAATAAAGAAAACATCCTGTATTTCAAGTCTCAACTATTGCAGTGAAAAGAATTCTGAAAAAAATAAAAGACATGTACCACAAGACAAATAGATATAAATAAGCACTTCTAGACTACCCCAAAATTATGAACAAAACATTGACATTGTAATAACTGAGATATATCCTGAAGGCAAAAATTGTTCTGATTAATGGGGAAAAACCTGTACCATCGCTTCCCATGGAAATTAGAAAAAGATAGTCTCAGCAAAAACTGCTTTCTCAGGAGGCTGTGATAACTGTGAGCTAAGATCATGTGTAGTACTTGCAGGGAGGAGGCAGAGGGTTTGGGGATCATTCACTTTTGAAAGACTTCAGTGAATGAATGCACTCCATCTGTCTGAGATTCATTTCATTGAGAGAGAATGAACTAGGTAACATTGCCAAAATCAAGTTCACTTAAGGTAACAGGCCAGATATGTTCCTGACCTTTTGTCTCTTTACTAAGGGTATGTTTACCATCAGGATGGCTAAAACAAAAATTCAGAAAAATAAGACAGCAAATACCAACAGGTGAAAAGGATGTGGGACAACCACATCAAAGTATAAAGTGGTACAACCATGCTAAAAAACTAGTTGGAAGTTCTCAAGTTAAACATAAGAATGTTTTATGACTCAGCAAATCCAGCCCAACACTCATATGACCAATAGAAAGGCGTATATATGTTCATCAAAAAGTGTGCACCGGGGTGTTCATAGCAGCACTGTTTATAATAGACCCAAACTAAAAACTACTCTATCAGCTTCTATCAGCACAACGAATTCATGAATTGTGCTGTATTCACCTAATGGAACACTACAACAATGAGAATGAATGAAATATAATTACACACAACATAGATAAACCTTACGAGTAAAATGTGATACAGAAGAAGTCAAGCACAAAAAAGTACATGCTGTTTGATTCCCTTATTTAGAATTCAAAAATGGACATACTAAATTATGGCAATGGAGATCAGGATAATGCCTATCCTTGGGACACAGAGATTAGAGCAGGAAGGAGGCATGAAAGGATGGTGGGTTATGGGCTACTGATGGTATTCTGTTTGTGAAAATTAATCAAGTTTTACACTTACATTTTGTGCACTTTTCTGTATGTACATTATATTTTAATATAAAATTCTCCAACAAACTTGTGTTGGTAGTATAGAGCAGGAAACAGTGGGGAGGAGAAGTAAGCAAGTGGACATTCTTTAAATGGAAGGAATAGTTCATAAAAATTTTTAACTAAAAAGCAAACGCAGCTTTCCATACATAAAGTAATTGGGCTCATATCTATCTTGCCCAATAACCTGGGGAAAAACACTGCCTTTGATTCTTATTTCAAAACAAGAGGCTATTATTGCTCCTGTTCCAAAGAACAGTTTTCATATATTTGGCTCTCTTTCCCACGTTTCTGAAGTAAGTAGAGTAAAAATATTTACTAAAGAGATAACACCTTGTAAATCATTTCGCTGGCCCACAGCAATTTTAACTGGAAAATCTTTCACACAATACTATTCCATGGACCACAGAAGCCCAATGAATTGGATTGCCAATAAATACTCTAAATGGGATTGAGTCATCTGAGTATATGTTGAATGACTGTACATTCCAAACACTAGGTTAAGCAAGCACTGCTAAGACAATAGAAGTTTTGCTTTATACAGGTGTTAAATTCTCTTCCCAAGGTACTGGATTTCTAAATCACTCTTTTCTCACCTACTCTGAGATGGCAAAATTCCTTGGCAATTCTAAACCTCTTGATGAAGGTCAAAAGGCCAGGCAGAGGGCTGGCCAAGTGGCTCAGTTGGTTACGAGCTCACGCAAGAGTGTGAGTTCTGAGCAACAGCGGTTCAATGTCCGGCCTGAGCTGAGTTGCCGCTGAGCTGCCAACAGGTGGCAGGATGGCTCAGCTTAAAAAAAATAAATAACAAAAAACAAAAAAAAAATGCCAGGGAGAATAATAAGAGACACACTGAAACCCGGTGAGGACCACTAAGTATGGAATGCTAGAAAATAGTGCCAAATAGGCCACGTTGGCACAGATGAATCAAAGAATAAAGACTCCTTAGAAGGGTGACCAGCTGTGCAAACAGGTACATGGGCAGAACTACACAAATACATACTTGGTCAAAAAGGGCATTCACCTTGTCAAGGACTTTCCACAAAAAGAGAAAATTGCTTTATATCACACACACACACACACACACACAATTACCATTATTTGCCTCAACCCTAAAGAGCTTCTGAAGTTAGGGATCATATTTTAGTCTTTTTAATTTTTTTTAATGTCTGTCATCTAAAGTGATTGGCTTAGTGGAAGCACCTGAAAACACTCATTAAAAACTAAATAAAATGTTATGTAGGTGTGTAGAGCTTCTTAATCAATCAATAAATGATCCCAGACTTTTAATGTTTCATACTAACTGTATTTGTCTCTTTCTTTATTCTGAGTTGCCAGCTTTTGTTTTAACTTAATTAATATAGAACTTCTATAACCTCGTGCTGTCATTCACAGTTCATGTGTCTGGTTGAAGAGTTTGAAGATTCACCCCCTCCCTAGAGCAAACTCATGAATTTTATGATTAATACTTGCCATCTTTAAACTTTTCTTCACCTTTTATGTGAGTTCACAGAAGGAGGGGGAATTTATAATCTGAAATGAACACAATGCTATTTTATGGACATCAAATGAGTATAGCCCAGTGCTGCACCTTTGGAAATAAATTTCACTATGAAGCCTCGAAAAGATAAAATTTTGTTTCATAAATGCATTTTAAAACATCAGAAACTCAGAGAGACCTTAATGAAGATTCATTAAAGTGAGCAGTTTGGAACATGGTCATCTCACTTGGCTGGAAAATTCATTTATGCAACATGCTTCTGTCCGCAGGGGCAGCAGATAAAGGCAGTGGTGTTGTGTGTAGCGTAGTTCACCTGTTGGTGGGGTCTGATAGTCACAGTGAATTGAGATATCCTATTCTCCGGAAACAATATGAGGGAGGATAGCAAGAGAGCTTTAAACTTTTACAGTGTTTATTTATTTGGACTTTCTCAGTGTGGCTTTCTCAGTGTTAAAAATGTGTATCATGGACAATCAGTTGCCTGCATCCTGCATTTTATTCTTATCTAAAGAGAAAGCCAAAGGTGTATTCCGCACAGGGAATGTTTTCATAGATTGTCAAGCCATCACACAGCACCCTTTAGCTACTTCTGATTCAAGGTGTACATAGTAGGATGCTTTTTTGTTTGTTTAAAGTATGAATTTTAGATGTTGTAGGAAAGTTCTGGGTGAATCGGAAACATCAAATTGTATATCCATCCCTCTGGAGGTCTGGAAACATCTGTAGATTTTATAGCCTAGTCAATAATTATACAGATAGTAAAATCCCCAAAGACCCCTTCGGCCTCTCAAAAATGGTTCTGATTTCTTATCTTGTCATGCGGGCTGATATCACATCTGAAGTATAGGTTTAACTGGGAATAAAAGAATTGCAATATAGGAATATATAAATAATCTTTATAAATTTGGGTGCAAGTTTTTTTCTTTGAAGAACACTTGGGACCAGACACATTCCACCCCACCTGCATCATGCACTTCATAATGTTTCTGGGCTGGTCTTCATCTTCATGATGCTACCAAGAGCCCCAAGGAGCTGTAGCTACAAGGAGGGCACGGAGTCATAAGTATCCACGTATACTTGTTTGTAGCAAGACATTTAATTCCTATAACTGGATTCTTTACTTCATATACAGTGACTTGAAAGACTTCACTTATCTTGGATTACCACTGATGTATATCTATCCATATATCATCAACTACTCTATAGTCATAACGAATTCTGTGTGTAGTTTCCAGGTGATAATTTAAAGTACTTATGTTAATATAAGTCATTTTGATATAATATTTTGGTACACTCTGTTGCTTCTGATTACATTTCATAAGATACATTATTCAGGATAAGTGAATACATGTAATGAAAAATAATTCATATTTATATATTAAATGACAAAGAAAAGTCATTCCTACTTTGCTTTTATACATTCTTTTCCCTGTTTTATTTTTAGCCATGTTGCTAAAAACTCATAAAATGCAAACTTATGGAGCCGGCCAAGTGGCGCGATGGTTAAGAACTGGTTTGGGACACCAGAGGGCCCAGTTCAGATTCCACATATGAGGACCAGTGACACTGCCCTCTACAGCTAAGATGCTGAACAACAGCTCAACCTGGAGCTGGGCTGCCGTGAGTCGCTTGTGATGGCAGGTGGGTTGCCATGGGCTACCGTCCAGATTGAGCGGCCAGCAGCCGCAGTGAGCAGCCGTCCAGAAGCCGGTGACTGATCTGCCTCGCCCAGGAAGAGCGCAATGATGGTGCCAACTTGGGCCAGTAAAGCAACGTCCTCCACAACTAGACTGAAGAACAAAATGACAACATTTGTCTGTTCCCCTTCCCCAATTCCCCAGCGCTGTTCCCATCCCCCCAATTCCCCAATTAAAAAAAATGCAAACTTATGAATTATACAAAAAGTCCAGTAGTACACCATTTAATTATGCCTCAGGAACACAGTAAAAGTGAAAATTAGCATTTTACAGTGCATTAAAATAAAGGTATAGAATCATATTTGCTTACTGCTAAAAAAAAAAAAGAGGTTAGAAAAATACAGTTCTTCAAAGAAAATACCAGATAAACAGATACCAAGATTCTTGTAATGTTCTAGCCACCCCATTATTGTTGAGTATACAGAAGATTTGACAATTTCTTGTGGAAAATATGGAAAAATAGTTTCCATTTGACACACTGCCATGGGGATAATAGAAATAATTTCAAAAGCTTTCACAAAAAAGAACAAGCAATCCAATTTGGTCCTAAGGATAATTCTGAATTTATTTATATTTGAAAAGAACTAAGTCTTGGCTTTAATCCTCAATGCCTCTGAATTAACTTCTCTGGTTCCATTGCTATATCCTGGTCAGGATGGTCATTATTTCGATCAACCTCCATACTGCTGCCCTGTGTAAATTAAACTTCAGGTATCCTCTTATTTCCCAGCTTGGATTTCAAGTCCTTTACAATGCAATTCCCCTTAAAGCTTCAATCCGGAATACATGGTTTTTCACTGTCCATTTTATGTTCCTTATGTGCCTTAGCTCACTAACAAATTAATTAAAGAGGCACATACTTAATGCTGGGTACCACACTGAAAAATATTTTTAAATAATTGGTATCTTTTTTTTCTTATAACATGTGGTTATGTGCTCCATTGTGTCCCTCCTCCCCACCCAAAATTCATATGTTGAAGTACGAACCCTCAGTACCTCAGAATAAAATTGTATTTAAAGATAAAGTCTTTAAAGATGTAAGTTAAAATGAGGCCAGTAGCATGAGGCTCTAGTGTACTATGACTGTTGTCCTTATAAGAAAAAGCAGAAACACAAATGATGTGTGCATACAGAGAAAAGGACATATGAGGACACATGAGAAGGTGGCCATCTACAAAAGGAGAGAGGCCTTGGAAGAAACTAACCCTCCCGACACCTTGATTTTGGACTCCTAGTCTCTAGAACTATAAGAAAATAAATTTCTGTTGTTGAAGCCACCCAGATGGTGGTATTTTGTTATGCCAACCCTAGAAAACAATACACATGTATATTTAGTACGTGTCAAAAGAAATTGGTAGCATGATAAAAAAAAAACACCAATTTGTCCTGAAGTGAAATTCTTAATACAGAAAACAGAAGAGCCAATATAAAATTGGATTTTGAAGAAATTCCTCCTCGTATCCTTTTCTCTACCTCTCGAAATCTAGAGCAGCTCATCTATTACTCCTTTGGAATGTTCCCTGCTATTCTATCCCACCTTAGCTTTCTTTTCTGGACCTCTTGACACCTATTTCCTAGGCCATTAGAAGAAACAATATTTACATCAGAACCTTGTTCTTATTCTGAACCCTATATTTAAAACCAATATAAATACACCTGTGTGCCTGAAGCTGGTGTAAAGGAAGGTAAACAGAGCTTCCTCTCCTGCTTGTTCAATCCACCACTCACTTTTTCTTTCCTTTGATGCTCACAGTGACATGGTGACACTTGGGACACCACCACATGAGACATGGGTTTAAAATCCCTGAATTACATCACACTTTAGTATCATCTTAAAATAGCCTCACCGGAGAAGATGTATTATATTAGAAGTGAGGCTGTACTATACACTTTTTAAAATTAAACTTATTGGGGTGACATTAATAACATTGAATAAGTGTACAATTCTATAATATACACTTAAGTATATATTGCATTGTGCGCTAACCACCCAAAATCTCATCTCCCTCCGTCACCATATATTTGACCACCTTTGTCCTCCATCCTCCCCCAACTCCCTTCCCTTCTTATGCTATACGCTTAAAAAAACACTTCCTCCATTAGGATGACAGACAAAGAATTGAACTAATAGCACAGCTTAGGGAACAATCTTTAAATTGTTTGTTAAATGAATGTGAATTACGTAATTTGTCTGGCTTAATAAGAAACCCAACATCAGTCTTAGAACCTAGCAACACGAAATACCCGGGGAGCGGGGCTCTGCTTGGAGCTGGTATGGTTTGGGCTTCATGGCTAACCCGTAGATGGGCGTCAGGTCGAGCTCGGCTCCCCGGCATTTTTTCAGCTTCAGCTGTTGCAGAACCGTGGTGATGAAAATGAATACCTCATTCCGTGCAACATCTTCTCCGAGACACTTCCGGATTCCCATTCCAAATATCAGAACTTTGTCAACAAGACTTTTATTCAATTCCTTCTTTTCGTTTAGAAACCTCTCTGGTCTAAATAAAGCGGGATCATCCCAAATAGTTCTGTATAAAATAGACAAGTTACATTTTAAAAACAAATCATTTTGCCATGCTTGCCAATTTCACCACAATAATTTTGTTTTGCGTGAAATGTTCAATTTTGGAATATCCTTTAGAAATTTTATATAACATGTATGTGTGCATATCCATACATATATGCACACATATGTATACATATGTAAATATAGAGGTATAATTATTATAAATTGATGTCTATGTCACTCTTTCCTTTAATTTATTGACAACTTTAGTTACCACAGAGATTTAGTAAATATGTACTTCTTTTTCTCCAAAATGACTTCTGATTAAAATACCTGAAAGTTTATTTCAATATTTTATGATTTTTAAAGGAAGAGTTCTACAAAATTCTCATAAGAATTTTCCAAAGTTGTAGTATAAAGAAAAAGTCCTAACTATTCAATCTCGTTTGCTTTGAGCAAAATGAGAGGGAACGAGACTCTGAGCCACACCTGTCGTTCGAGCACCAGTGTGTTTAGGAAAAGGCCTTCGTACATCAGCACGGAGCTGCCAGCTCACCAGGAAGTAGCTCTGACGGAGGGGCTCCCAACTTTTGTGCCCCTGGTTCTCCCTTCTCCCTCCACCTTTTGTTTCAGGCTCCATATCTGGCTTGTCTATGACAACTAACGCTGGCATGTTTCCTAATACACCCTAAGCCATCCAGCAGGGACCCGCTTGACTTTCCAAAGAACTGCACCTCTTTGTGTAGAGATGCCACTCTCTTTCTGGGAGAATTTTTTCTCTTTGTGCAGCAAAGTTCACAGATCTGATCTATGAGTTGCACTCAGTCCTCCAATACATTTTGTTTTTCTCTCATAATCTTTTAAAAAACAATCCATTGTTGCCACCATTTAAACATCAGAAGATTCCTCATGAAAATTTGCATTTCTAAGTTCTGTCTTATAGCTGAAAGAGCTACACCATTGGGCCAATGTCCTGCTTTTCCTCAGTTTACTGATCCAAATTGGATACAGCAGATGACCTCCCCCAATTCGTTTTCAATATTTTCCCACTGCTCAGTAGGTGCTTAAGTTTGTCACCTCTGTTTTAGACTAAATATGAATAATTTCCACATAATATCAAGTCTTGAATCACATACTCAATCAGCTTAAACAAATGCCTCCACACAGACAATATTTCTTTATAAGCACTGGTGTTAACACTGTGTAGTCTGTTTAAACATTACTCAGTATTCAATATAATCACATGTCCTTAGCATGCGAGGATGCAGGATACTTGGGGTTGTGCTACCTAAGAATAAATGTCATTAAATTTATACCAACTGTATTTTTCTTAAAATGGGTTTTAAAATACTTTGTTTTATTCAGCATAATCACTGGGTAGGAAGAATGGAGGTGTCAGTCTTTCTGACAATAAGCTCTGCAGTGAGACGGTCTCTGCAGTGTATTCCACCATTTTGCAGTTTACAGAGAATGTGAAGGTGCTGTTAGGTGCACAGCATAATCACCTCCCTCCCTAACAGCCTGGAGCATAAGTCAGTCAGACCAGATCTTGAGTGAAGATGGAGAAACTCTACAGAACACCGTGCAGCTTCTGAGTGCTTTTATACAGCCTGCTGACTGCTTAAGAATGCATCTCGACCAGTTTACTGGAGACCTCAAGCCCTGACCCCAGGGAGAATCTGATTTCCATTAAACAAGATAGACACACCTGAATGTGAGTCCTGCTTCTGCTACCTGCTAAACGTGTTACCTTAGTTCATTTGTTTCACCTGGCTGAAAGTTGCTTCATCTGTAAAATTGGGATTGTGACAGCGCCACTGCAGTGGGATATTGTGAGGATCAGAGGACATACTTCAAGATTTTGTGTCCAGCACACAGTAGGGTCTATAAATATTAGCTGCCACTATCATTATTCCCAACACCACCATCACTACTGCCATCATCCTCACTTTCATTGCATGAGGTGCCTTCATCTCAGCTCTCCCTTTTATAGCTGGTATAGGTGAGCCTCTAGCTGGTTTATTTACAAATATTTATTGAGTGGCTACTATGTGCCAGGCACTGATGTAGGTGCTGAGGTAGAGAAAAACCAAACAAACAAAGAAAATCTCTGCTTGGTGGCTTGTATTCTGGTGGGGGAATCAGGCTGCATTTCAAACATCATCTGGCCATACACACGCAAAGAGTGAGCCCATGAAGTCCTTGGCTCACACTTCCTCCATGGGGCCCACTTTTGAAATTGGATTTGCCCTGAATGAATCTGTATGAAGATATCACCCTTCTCACTATCAGTGAGGAAGAAAAACTGAATTTCTTCCCAACTTCTTTAAACAGAAACGAAAAGAATGAAGTTTGGTTTAAGAAGCATGTACATCTTTCCCTGATTAACAAATAGTAAACAACTAAGCAAATTGAACCCCAAGAAATAATTTTGGTGACTTACTCGTCATGATTTACTTGATACATGTTAATAAAAGTGCACGTTTTCCTGGGAATGAAACAGCCATTCAGAGTAGTGTCTGCTGTGGTACTGGAGAAGCAAAAGACAGCATTACAGCACATCCTGGTGGTTCAAATAACCCACCCTGCAGCTGCCTCCCACGGCTCACAGACTATTTTTATTAATGTCATTTTAAAGTATAATAATATGACATCTTCATCAATCTTCCTTCTATCATTAATTGACACATCTTCAACCTATTGTCAAGTGAGTAATTTATTCTTTTTCTTGTATTTGTTAGACATATTGCACACTTAATATATTTAAGGCATTGCAATGAATGAAAAATCTCAGTAGAAAATTATCTCAATATTTCCATGACAAAGTTGCCCATAAGCAGACACATCAAATTATATCAGGAAACTGTTAAGGCAATTATAAAGCACTTTCTGTGTGCCCCGTGTGTTTTTGGCTTTTATTAATAGATTAGAATAACAAAACATAACATCTTTTAATAGTTGGTGGAAGGAACAATGGAATTGGAACTAGGAAACCTGAACTCTAGACACTGCTCACAGTGAGATGTTGGGCAAATCTCATACCTACTCTATGATTTCATCTCCTAGCTGTGAAATGATGTCAGTACTGTTGGATGATCTCTAAGTTGTCTCTAGAACAAATAACCTATTTTTCTAGTCCCATACTCAGACTTGTTTATGCAAACTGTACACTGTTTCTCTTTATACCTCTGTAATTATGCATGGATTAGATTAACTCAGGTTATATTTCCATATGGCACTCCCTAACTTCCTAGATGGCCCCCACAGGAGCAGCAGTGACATTTCAATTGGATGAGTTTGAGAGAGGTACTGGGCACGTTTGGCGTAGCCACTTCTGGTTCTCTCTTCTGATTAGCCAACCTATAGAAAATGCACATCTCACCTATAATCACTAAATGGCTGAGCTCAGCGCAGCAGGTTTTGTGCTTCCAGGTTTTGCGCTGCTGATGTCCAACCTTGCCAGAGGCTGAGTGGAGAAGTATATCTACTTCAGGTGAGAAGTGTGAGCAGCCCTACTTGGTGCAGCTTTAAGCCAAATGGTATAAACTAGCTCTGATCATTAGAAAAGGGGGTATTTGAATTTCTATTTGATCTATGTTCATTTTGTAGCTGATAATGAAATTTGGCAAATAATATAGACTGTATTCATTGGATGCTCTCACAACAAAGGGAAAGGCCAAAACAGGAATGGATCTGTTTCTTAGAAAGATTACCTTCTCCTACGCACAGACACCTGCCTATCTCAACACATTCCTGTCCACGGGTCCTCTGTGGATTTGGCTGCTCAAACTCTGTTTCACAGAAAAAGTTATAGGCTCCTGTTTTATGGAAACCTGGTATGTCAAATTTGGTTTCACTAATATTAAAATGTGAGTGGCTATTCTAATGGAGGATTCAATATCTATAAATGCATTAATTGTAGATTTTTCTCTCTCCATATATGTTCCCAAAACCTTGTGTATGAAAGTGGCTTTCTGCATAACTTTTAGGGAACATACACACAATAAATATTTATCAGAGTACTGTTTGGTCCTGTATGGTATGTGTATGTGTTATATGTAATAACAATTATTTTGCTCCTTTTCCCTATGATTATTCCATTTAGCGTGTTTTAATTTATTTCATTTTAACATAGTTTCTGCTTTTTGATCCTCTACCTTTTTAAGTGGAAAACAGTAAGACTCCAGGTATAGAAAAATAGATTAGTCCCAAACAACATATATAAGATACCATTTTGGTGTGTGCAAAAATTCTTGGTTCATATCACGCTACTCTCATTGGTGAATGCATTTGCTTTTTTATTTTATATTAATGTATTCCTTCACTTTTAATAACATAATGAACACACCTATGTCCTAAGATAAATTTTCCTATCAGCTAAGTCCTCAGAAGTGTTTTCAGGGCCCCAAAATAGATGATCACTATCATTTAATCCAAATGATGCCTATAAACCTTGCAAAACCTCACTATTCCTAATTACTTAGTAAAGCTTGGAGGTCATACTCTTTCATGAAGCACCCAAAGTCACCTTATGAAAGTCATTGAGACAGAAGAATTGCTTCTTTAAAAATAAGACAGGTTTTTAAAACTTAAGTTAAAGGTGAAATTTACTTCATTCAGAAAGAAGATCTGCATAAACGGGATCACTGTGAATATATAGCATTGTGTATGAATACGGAAAGCGACAAGGCAAGTAAAGAGACAAAACCCAGGGAACTGTGTTGCTCACTGTCTGGCCTTGACTTTCCTCAGCTAGTGGTCTAGCCCTTTAGGACACAGCACCTGAGCGCACTGCATACTGCTGTGCCACAACCATCATTACATCAGCTTCCTTGGGTGAGAGACATTCCCACTCCTTCACTACTTAATGATGGGAAGAGAAAAAGCACTGAAAATTTCATTTTTCATTTTAATTGTGTGGGATGGAAACAGTTCAAACTAGCAGAACTTTGGTTGTCTATATTCATAGTTAATAAAGTGTATCCACTTAATCTATACTGGCGTGCATTGTGAGCTGGAGAGTCTGGTATAAGGTTCAGTACACTCTCAAATATCTATAAATGGATACTCTATTTAATCTATTTGTGGTAACACTGGCTGCTTTAGTCTATTGCCCAGCAAAATTCTAAGCTACTGAAGATGAAGCCACATCAGCAGGTGGCTAACATTGCTCTTAGCAGGAAGTTAAGTAAGTTTGTATGATACTTATGGTTGTATTATCCATTGTTTGGAATTTCTATATCTTTCTCTCCCCTTAATTAGTACACATAAAATGGAAGTTAGTGACACTGTAGTTTGGTTATGAAAAATATTCACAAAATATGCCTTTGCTCTATGTAAAAATTTCATCAGAGGATTTCAAAATAAAATGAAACAAGATTAAAAAGATTAGTAAGATAATAGTAATAACATTATATAGATATTAAAGGACCGAAAGTATTCTAATGCCTTATAATCCTCGTTTCTCTCACCCAACCATTTGTTGCTGTAACAAACGAGACTCATATGCTTACCAATGTGGAATAGTAAAAGGAATAAAGGAAGCATGTCTGAATATTTCATTTATGAAAGCTTCTGTGTAGGGTAAAATTTTTCTGTCTTCAAATCTGGGTGATTTCAGCCCAATATTTTCATCTGAAACAAGCAAGTTTTTAAAAATTTATTAAGAAAAACAACAATTATAAAAATTATATTTTTCATCTGAAAGCATGTTACCAATTTCTTCTTGAATTTTGGCTTGAATTTCTGGATAGCATATCAAATAAAGAAAGCTCCAATATAGACATGTTGATACAGTTTCAAACCCTGAAAAACAAATACAAGACAAAGTGTCATGGAGAAAAACATTAGCAAAATTAGTATCCTCAATTTACTTCATATTTGAATACTAAGAATCCAGGGGAGAGAATCTAAATATAATTACAAATTAATAAAATCATAAAAAAATAATTACTATGCATTAAAGTTTTCTTCAGAATATAAGCTTAACCTCCCACCCATTAGGATAGATAGCCACTATCAAGAGAACAGAAAACAGTAAGTGTTGCAGAGAATGTAGAGAAATTGTAATCCTTATGCACTGCTTGTTGGAAGGTAATATATAGTGCAGTCACTATGGAAAACATTACAGAGTTTCCTCAAAAAAATTTAAAAAGAATTATCATATGATCCAGGAATTCTACTTCTGGGTATAGTATATCCAAAAGAATGAAGCAGGTCTTGAAGAGACATTTGCACACCCATGTTCATTGCAGCATTATTCACAATAGCTAAGAAGTGGAAACAACCCACATGTCCATTGATGGATGAATGGATAAACATGTGGTATATGCATGCAATGGAATATATGCAGCCTTAATACATACATGGATGGACCTAGAGGGCATTAGGCTAAATGAAACAAATCAGTCACAAAAGGAAAAATATTGCATAATCCCACTTATATGAGGTATCTAAAGTAGTCAAAAATCATGGAAACAGAGAGTAGAATCGTAGTTGCTAAGAGCTTGGGGGAAGGGTGGAGAGAATCGTGTTTAATGGGCATAGAATTCAGTTTTGCAAAATGAAAAAAGACTAAAGATCTATTGTACAACAGTGTGAATATAGATAATACTACTGAACTTTACAGCTAAAAATGTTTAAGGTAGTAAATTTAATGTTATGTGTTTGCAACCACAATACAAATATAAAACATTTTTTTAGAATATAGGTTTTATTCATGACAAGTGAATACAATGGAAATATTTCACTACAAAATAAACACCATTGTTATAAAATAATGATGGCTATGGTTTATGCAGTAATAGTAATTATAATCATAAGTAGCTATAGAGAGCTTACTCTGTTCCAGGCTATATATCTATATCTATACCTATACTACACATGGTGTAAGTGTGCTCATTTTACTGAAGAGAAAATTGTGCCTCAAGAATATTAGGGATGGGTCTTGTTCAAAGTGACTCAAATCAGAAGAAGCAGATTCTGGTCTTAAACTTAGACTTATCTATATCCAAAAGCCATAAGGTGGTTGTATGAGCACATAATGGAAAATTGAATATATTCAATTTTTTTAAATACTAATTTTTTAGTGTACTTGCTATGGTTTAAAATTCATTCTTCGAAAAGGGTATCTGAACTTTTCAGATTATCTATACATTGGCTAACTGTTTTTCATTATTAAAAATAAAAGCAAGAAACTATGTCACAGTCATCTTTTTCTCAAGGGTAACTTGAATACTACATCAAAGAATGTAATCAGTTCTTGAAGACCCACCACCCAGAAGTGCCATGTTAGAAAGCTTTTATAGGGCCGGCTGAGTGGCGCGTTGGTTAGGAGTTAGCTTGGAATACCAGCTCTGAGCATCAGGGCCCCAGTTGGGATCCCACATGAGGGTCAGTAATGCTGCGCCCTCTACAGCTATGATGGTGAACAACAGCTCTACCTGGAGCTGGGCTGTCATGAGTCGCCAGCGACGGCGTAGGCTGAAGTGGGGCTGGCCGGCAGCCGGTGTGAGCTGCCAAGAGTGGCAGTGTGAGCGGCTGTCCAGTCACCAGTGACCTATCAGCCTCACCCAGGAAGAGCGCAATGATAATATCAACTTGGGCCAGTGAAGCGACATCCTCCACAACTAGACTAAAGAACAAAAAGAACAGCAACTTGTCTGTTCCCCTTCCCTGATTCTCCAACGCTGTTCCCCTCCCCCAATTCCCCAATAAAACCTTTAAAAGAGAGAGAGAGAGAGAGCTTTATAAACATTGTAATTGTAAATTAACCTCTATGATGACCAAATGCCAAAATTAATAATGCTATTGGTGTTTTCTACTAAAGCTTATAAAAATCTAGTAGCAAAAATGAATTCTAAGTCAATGTATTTTTTTCCCAAGGTTTTTATGATAATGATGACATCAACAGTGATGACAATAGCAAACATTGATCACTTGATAGCATTGCCATTGAGACTGGGGCTGCAGTTAGTCTCACTTGAGAGATAAGAAACCTAGGGCAAAGAGATGGTTAAATATTTCACCAAGACCACACAAGAGACAAAGCTAGTACCGCACTCAAGTCTGTGGCTCCAGAGCACTAGGACTTAACCGTTTGTTTGTTCTCTAAACAACGTGCATCATAACATGCCCAAGAAATACACTCAGATATATCTGTAGAGCAGAGGAAACTCCTTTCCAAACATCTCTTCTCAAAAGATTTTACATCTTTTGAACAGGTCAATCTCTTATAACAAACAAGCAGCGTCTACACTTCCAAAGTCACAAAATTTCTATATTGACTTTATACTGCAAGACTTATCCTAAATGTAACTTGTCCAAATGAAACTGCTGACCATAGAAGAGTATAGCATGGTGTGAAAATATAGACTTTGAATATATTGATTCTATGCTCTAGCAAAAGAGAAAAGAGCAAGCCATGAATACTGCATGGAAAATACTGATTTTGTACACTGTAGAGCCACAGACTTTATATCCAAGATCTGGGTAAATAACAGGATTCATATTTTGATTACCATAAAATTTGCTCTTACGTCAAGGCTTAAGCAACCTATAATTTATCTTCATAGATTATCTAAAAGTTGAGCTCATAATAAATGATTTTGGGAGAGCCTGACCATATCCAAAGGAGAAATCAAATTATTTCTATGATCAATTTGAAAAGTCAAATATGGAAATATAAATGTGAATAATATAGTAGATCTGATGAAACAGTGTGTTTGCAAATTTATCCGCTAAAATATGTGGTTTAGAACTCATTGTTTCCTTCTAATTAAGTATTCTATTCTGTATCACTAGAGAGGTAACAGACACATGTGGAAGTTTATGTTTTATTAATTTTCTTTATTACTCATATTTGAATTCAAAATACAAATTCTATCAGATGTTTGTTGAGTGAATAAATGTGTTATACAGCAATGTATTATATTGAATACTCTTTGTTTTGCATACATTTCTCCAAACCACTTTTTACTGTGTGATGCACATCTGGTGGTGCTAATATACTCGTATATCCTAGTCATATTTTTAATTTGTCATAATTTTATATTTGTTGATTTTTCAGTATCTTGACAGTATTGTATATCTCTGAAATATATTATCACATCAAATTGAGATGAAAATAAAGTCCACTTGATGCATTAATCACACACACACACACACACACACACACACACACGGAGTCTTTAGTATTTAGTTGGTGTTCAGACTTTAAAAAAAACACCCTCAACAATCCTAACAATAGTATTTAGCATCAGGTAGTTGGCAGAATAAATGTTAAGTACAGCATGATCATATTTATATGATAAATAACCAGGGCATCCATCAAATTTAAATCATGATCAAAATAATAAATATATGTCAATGTGTGGAGAGGGAGACTAGATGTATTTGCATGAGGAAAAATAATACACATCAAAACAAATGCCTCTGTTTGCAAAGAAATTTCAGGAATACAAATGCATAAATCCTAGGGCAGGGGGAAGGACCCAATTGTCAATAAATATGCTATATAAAAGAAAGGAAAAACAAGTTTGAAGAATATTCCACCTAAAATAAAACTGCTAAAACACCTTTAGTATTTTGGTGGTGTTGTTATACTAAGAGAATTTGCTTCCTTCAGTTTAATATCTTAGAGGAACTATAAGAAATTTGATAGGTAAAAATGATCAGAAAATATGAAATTTAAGAATGATAATAGTAAGATAGCAGGATATAGATTGTCTTTCTATATTCAATCAGCACATATTGATAGATTGAATAGGACTTGGGTATCTATATGAAAAACTCAAGAATCCTTTTACTGAGTTGCACAGAAGCTCTGCTTCTTAGCATAAGGCTCTAATTCAAAAGAAGGCAAAACTAATGGATAAAGAAAGCCATCTTAGTATTAGCAAGATATTCAATATCTGTGTATTTGTGCAGGCTGAGAGCTACAAACAATACAGGTGCCCACCCCAGAGACAGCAGATGGGTAACTGTGGGGGATGCATTCAGGGAATATTATGCAACTGACTGAAGCAGCAAATTAGAAATACACCTGGCAAACATGATTGGATCTTAAAAATACAGGGCTTCATGGAAAAAGTTAGAAATAAGTTGAGATGTAAATAACAATGGTGTTTACATAAAGAGCATGAGGATGTAAGAATACATGGTAACACATGATGATATAAAGCCTGCGTTATAAGAATACATAAAACAAAACAACAACACTAAATAAATTAAGAATCAATGTCAGTGGGTTGGGAAGGGCCTGGGAGTGGAATGCAGGGATAAAAAGTAATAAACAAACAAGGCACTGCATCAATAATGATGTTAACCATGAACCGGGGACCATGATTAACTCGATTCTCTACTCCTGAGATGAAAAGATTTTCTGAAAGACCTAGGAAGAAGGTGGAATGTCAAATTGTTCATACGGAGTGAGATCAATTACATTAATTGTCCAATATTAGAAGACGGAAGTACTCTAAAGCATAAATAGTAAAAAACAAAAATTGTAATTAATTTTAACCATCGCGCCACTCAGCCGGCCCTGTAATTAATATTTATTCACCTTACATATTAATAAATACCCTCACATACCAGCTCCAAAGAGGTCATTCACAGTGCCTATGATTTCGTCGTCATTTAAGGTGGCTGTTTTGGTAGCAGCATATTTGCTGTGGCATGTGTGAATCAGAGCATCAGTAATGTCTCGCATATGGTTCTGAGGAGACAAACCTTAGTATTCATTATTGATCCCTACCTATATTTCACATCACATATTAATCTCATGCAGCATGTAACATGAAACGGACTCAATTTGCTTAGGAATATAAATAATATAGTACATCATTTTAAGCCTTGCAACCAATTTTGTTTGTTAATGGTAATGCGCAATCTTAAAAGAGTGTAGAACAATAGAAAACCAAGTTACTAAGCTCAATTTTCTCCTTAAAGTCTCTTTCCATTCATAATAATAAAAAAAAGTACATAGGTCTGGAAGGGTACTTAAAAATTACAACTTATTATAGTGAAATTGTTGGACAATGATTATAGTAAGAGGTTTTCAAACCTATTATTGTAAGGATTTTACTGTAATTGCCATGCAGAAAGAGATGAGGCTATAGTAGGTTAGGGAGTAAGAAGAAAATTTTACACATTTTAAAAATGCTTTTACTTACTGTAGCTGATCTAGAACTCCCAATTGGTACCATGAGACAGATTGTTCACTGCCTCTTCTTTTTCACTGTAGGGGACTTAAATCCTTACACCTCTTCATTTGCTCAATTATCCACCTTTTCATGTTTTGTTTTTTTTCCTGATGCCATCATCTCAGCAAATTGACCCCCAAGAATTAGGATTCTTTCTAGTACATATATTCTACATGTGTTATTATCTCAAAGTTCATTTCTGTGTAGTAAAGGAACTCAAGTAGGAAAAGAGTAAATTAAAAGCTTCCTATTCAATATTTTTATAATTATTCAAAACATTTTCTTAAGAAAAATATGCTGATGCTTTTAAGACCTTGCAGTTTCAGATATAAAATGGGACAGACAAAATCATTGGTTCATTTCTTCAAAGAACTCATCTACAGGTTGGTTGTCATTCATCAGCCAATTACAGATTCATAATTCAAGTATGGGCCTTATCCACACGCTGGGGACATTTCTGAGGTCGCAAAGAATTCAGAATGCTTAGGATCCCTACATAAGAACTAAGCAGTCCCATCCTATAATCTCACTGACTGGAACTCACATTTACTAATACTAGTGTGGGAAAGGGTCTTCATGGAAAAATTATAGTGAAAAACACCACAGAAAAATCCACACAACATTCTGGGTGCTCATCGCATCTCACTGTTATCTTTTGCTTCTCACCAAATCCCTTGTCCTGGCATGAGTTTAAATCCTTACCTTATCATATGTAGTAAGATGATCTTGTACATGTTGTGCAATAAATTGATTCAGGGCCTGATAAAACACCCGAGGACCATTTATTATCCTCAAGGGAAGGTAGCGGAAACATGGTATGAAATCAGCTGGATTAGCTGCTCTGGATGCCTTGAGGATGTCATCATTTGTTTTAACTATCTTAAGAAACTCCTCGTCACCGTGGTCATATCTCTTGCCAAAGCAAAGGGCACAGACAACGTTGGCCACTGCACACGTGACAGCACTTCTGGGGTCAAAGCTGCCGTTCTTAGAAGTCAACTCTGCAAGGACTTTTACCAGCTCAGAAACTTCCTCGACGACATGTTCCTCAAGTAAGCAAGAGCAGGTGGAGGATTTTGCTTCTGCTTTAGAAAAAGTGCGTAAAGCATTAGAGGCAATTTTCTTATGCAGCTTCCAGCTGTCTCCAAAATTGACGGAAAATGAAAAACTCTTTCCTTCTGCCAGGGAAGAAAACGCATGCATGTTAGGTCTGCCTCCAAAATGCTCTCCATCCTTGAGCAGTACTTGCTTCACCATTTCCATCCCATTCACCACCACGACAGGCACCATGCCAAGTTTGATGAGGAAGACATCTCCATATTTCTTCCTCATCTCCATGAAGGTAAGGTAAGGATGGTCTCCAAGCTGAAGAAGATTTCCTACGATGGGGAAGGACCATGGGCCAGGAAGAGACACCTGTTTTTTCCCCTTGCTTCTGAGAACTCTCACAAAAACAAAAACTATCACCAAAATTATGAGAGAAGTGGTCACCTCTCCAGGAGTGACTGCCATGTAGAATACCATTTTCAGGAGTAAAGTACCTAAAATTAAAAAAAAATGTAAACTTTATTTTTGCCATTCTAAGCATAGCCTAAATAGACTTTCTCCTTTGAAACATGTAGAAGAAAAGTACAGACTCTTTGTAGTTGGTTGAAAGCTATTCTTACCTGAAGCACCAAGAGGGCAAAATCAAATTCTTATAAATGCATTGCATCTATACCCAATTCTATTATTGTCACAGTTCTCACCATTACACCAAATCCTTTCCTGTCCATCACTGACATGTTAGACAACTTGAAGTAGAAAGCAACCTGATGGTTGGGAAAGGGACTGAGGGTATAGAAGCTGATTTCATACTCATTGGCTGAGGGGATCTTCATCCTGTCATTTAACCTAAGTGCATCCCAGTTTTCTCATCTAAGGATCCTACCTGACAGAATTATAGTCATACATTTTTTTTCAACAACTATTTATTGAACTCCCCCCAAATGTCAGGCATTGAAAATGCAAAACAAAATTCACAGACTAATGATGAGAATAGAAAACAAGAAATAAGATTACAAAGTGGAAAATGCTATAAAGAATAGAGTACCAAGTGCTCTGTCATTGTTTGAGGATCAAATTAAATCATTATTTAAAAATCCCTGGTGAATTACAAGCCATTTAGTGGATATCTAATTGGATGTCTGCATAGCCTGTCCTTGGACTTCCCAGGCTGCTTGGAAGGGTGACTTTCTGAAGGTTGTCTTTCTCCTTTGTAACCTGCCCATGGAGTCACAGGTGATCCATCCAAGGATAGGCCACTGACCCAAGATAAGCCTTTCTGAGGAAGATGGGATTGGGACTGTGACAGACCATCCTTTCTTTGGACAGCTACATCCATAAAAACTAACTGAAGATATGATTTGGGGACCTTTCAACCCACCAGGAAGACCTGAGAAACTGTGAAAGCAGGTCTCAAAAATAAATGAAATAGAAAAAATAAAATAAAAGACAGAAAGAGACCTCATGACCTTGTATTCACTGCTTCTAGAACTCGGGGATATCTTATCCTTGGATTGAATTCTTTTCTGCTAAACTAACTACAATTGGTTTCTATTACTTGCAACACAGTATCCTAATCACCCCTTCCCCCAAAAGTTTCCTACACATGCAGGATATTTTTGCTAGCTATTGCATTTTATGGTAATGATAGAGGGAATACAAAACTTTTTCTCCCTTAAAAGAAAACACAGTTAAACTGTTCGCATTTATCAAATTACTTACTGAGACTAATAACATTTGTGGGCAATACACCCATTAGTCAGTGTAAATGTCTAGTTCTTACTGATTTTTGAGTAGGTCAATGCTTGATTTCTTCTAGATTTTTTAAATGACTAGGCAAGCAAACCCTTATCACCTTTTTTACCTGATTGTTGCACCTTTCCAAGTTCACAGATAAAATGTGGCAAACTACACCAACTTGGTTGGCACTGGTTACTATGAAATGAACTTTGGAGTTAAAAGTGAGAGATCAATTTCTTTTTATGGAAAAAAACAACATGACTACGCATTTAAACGAAAAAGAAAAACTGAGTCCCTAATCAATGCAACAGCTACAATTTGCAAAACTTCATTTTCTCTCTGTTCAGAAAGGAAACAATGGGGCTTCATGGTGTTTCTGCTTTGCATTATGCTGATTTTGCAAAACCTCTCTCATTGATAATAATGATGACCATTTATTGCACACTTACCATGTGCCAGATCCAGAACTAAACGCTAAATTGGCACTGTCTTTCAAAACTCACCTCTGTAGCATCCTGTTATGGATAGGCTTAGAGAGAAAGTCATTCCCCTCACTTATTTCCCATGCTTTTTGAGCTTAATAACAAATCACCAATTACTTACCTGCAGCACTTGCTTTTTAATAAAATTAAATTTCTCTTGGACATTCACCCAACTGCCAGTTTGCACACTGACAAACTGGTCAGTGTGTCTGGAAGAACTTCAGACTCATAGAGATGATCAGATTTCCCGCCTCCCTCCTCCCCTATTTAGCTGTGGAACTTCTATGAAATCACATCTCCCTTGGCCTCAGTTTCCTCATCTGTAAAATGACACTTCAGAGGCCAGCTATAGTCTTCGTAATCAAAGCTAGAAGAGAAAACAGCAGAAGCCAAGTGTGATGTGGAAGGTTAATTGCCCAGTCATTTTATTTTGCCAGAGTTTCCAGAGCAGTTAACATTTCAGCATCAAATACACATAACTGTATGATCACCCTGGATTCTTTCTCAGCCTGAGCCCTTCTAGCTTCTTTTATTAAACTCTCTTTGGCAGCTTACCAGGCCCAGACGCATTGCCAAGTTTCCTAGCAACTTTCTTGGGAAGCTTGAAGGCACATTCTGTTCCTGTTGTTTTGGTGGTGAACTAGAGCTGCAGACAGGGTGAGCTGCTGCATGGTCAAAATTCGGGTAAGAAGAGCATATGTAGGTTGAAGGATTTTATAGCAATTCTCAAACCTAGACACACACATTAGACCTCCCTTAGAAGCTGCTAAACCATTGCAGTGTCCACATCCCACACAGACCGATGAAATCCAAACCTCCAGGTGCGGGTGCATTTTAAAAAGCTTCTCAAGAGGACGAAGAGGTATTTCAAGTTGAGGACCTTTTGCAGGGGAGAAACCTGCTATGAGATCAACAAACCCATTTAGCCAAATTACAAGGAAGCTTGCAAGGCTCACCTGTGCTCAGATATCTTGCTGGTAAATATGAGGAATCTGGCGGAAGGCTCTTAGGACAGAGAAGGTTTTGGGAAAAGCTGGAGGTATCCTAGGAAGCAGAACAGTCCGGTCACAGCAGCAGCAGGACTCCAGAAATGCTGGGAGAGAACATTCTGGGAAAAGACAGGGAAGGGTGGACCTTGGACCCATGGGGGGAGGAGTCTGGAACTGGGTTAGGGATTTGAGAGCTGGAGGGAGGGATGGAGAGACCTCTGCAGCCAGAATTGGACCCAAGAAGCTGGAAAATTCCAGTGTGAATGGAAGGAGAAGGACACATCTAGAGCAAGGGGTTCTGAAAAAGAGGGTAGGATGGAAATTGATCTTGGAAAACAGCAGGGCAGGAGAGAGAGGATGGAAAGGCTAATTTTTAAGTTGCTGGTGACAAGCAGAGGTATAGTTGAAAGATATGTAGCAAGGAGCAGAGAGGGAAAATACGATGGCACAGAGGCATTACTATGCAGCGAGTTTCAGGAAACCAGGAAAATGTGCAAGGCACTCTAGGCAGGGAATGGGGGCATGGGAAGATGGATGAAATAAAAGAATCCAGGAAACAAGTTCCTTTTCTCAGGTGCGTTTGGTAGATTCATCGGGAGTCTTCACCAAACAAACAGATTTGTATTTCCACAACTAGAACAGTTAACCTCTGAAGATGATATAGCTTTGGTTTGAGAGTATATTCTACCTGCATCAAGGCTCTTTTCCTACATAAAGGCTAGTTTTACTACCTGTTACTAGGTAAATGATGTGTGTTTTGGGGACATCTTCCTGTCAAGGTGTCTGCAACTTATTACATAATAAACTTTTAAAGAAAACTTTGGAGATTTTCACCCCATAAATATTTGTGGTTTCATGGTTAGCTTTTATGGAGAATTTCCAAGAAAAATAATTGGTAGCCAGAACGTCTCACATAGGGAAGAAAGCAAGTCCCCAAAGTGAAGGCTAAACCTAACACATCTGAGCTACAGTGTCATATTCACAAAATATCTTGGTGTTCTGAATACCTAAACTCTAAAAGTTCAAAACATCTGACAAAGGCCTATGTTGGGAGCTGGCCGCGCCTCGGTGTTTGACAAGGTCGCATCGAGGTGGAGATCCATGCATGGCGCTGGATGTCTGGGGCACTGCCTTATGGTTGGTCTTGTAATATCTCTTGTCTCGGGAGATAAAAATTATAAATTGGATTCCTTGCCAAGTACATTATTGTTGTGGCAAATTCTGAAGCTCTGACTGAGAAACAGATACTGCCTTCCATTGCGGAAAATCTAGTCCCCCCTGGATGTATCCCAAATAAGGATAAAAGATCTGATACCCCTTTATATATTGATTATTTTAATCACAAACAAGTAGATTTTAGATACATTACACAAATTTTACCCTATACACTAAAGATAATTTTAGTCACACTGCTAGTTTCTTAGTAATGGACAAAGTATACACCCTGTAATCTTAAGATCCTGCTTAGCTAATAGTGTTTAGGATGATTGTTGAGCAGCCATGATAACCATTTTTTAGGTGATGATGCAGAAACTCAGCCTTAGTCACATAGTCATTATAGGTAAAAAGATTAGCCTTAGTCACATAGTCATTATAGGTAAAAAGATTAGCCTTAGTCATATAGTCATTATAGGTAAAAAGATTAGAGCACAGTTAAGATAAGTTAATCTTTAGCATAGAATAGGTCAAGCTGTACCCTGTAGCATAAGAATAACCAGAGAGTGAAACTCTAAGATAGATAGCCTATAAGGAAGTAGAACCCTGGGGATAAAAACATCGAAACTATGTAAAAAACGTTTTACTAATGAGATAATGGTCAACTGTCCAATATAAAAAGGGACATGCTGTAAAAATAAAGTGTGACACTTCTTCAAAACATTCCTGTGTCTCCGATCCTTCTTTGCCAACTCCGTCCTCACCTGAGGGAACCCCTGGACTCACGGGAGCTGGACTCCCGCAGGCCTACAAACCATAGGGGTTTTTTTGACCCACTGGCAGAAGTTACACAAATTGGCATTTAATCATGCCATACTAGCAACTGGAAAAAAATTATTCCTAATTTTTTTTTTCCCATGAAGTATCACCTTCTCTAATATAACTAACCCCACATTGGATTAATGTGTAGACACTATGCAGCTATATAAAATTCTTTGTGCAAGTGCCCATATTACAGATAGTTGATAATAATGGCTTGGCAATGTGTTATTTTAAAGCTTTGGTGGGAGAAGATAATGGGAATTGCCTTGCATTAAATGGCCAAGGATGGTGTATTAGTTTCCTAGGGATACTCTAACAAATTACCATAAACTTGGTGGATTACAACAACAAAAATATATTAACTCATAATCTGGAGGCCAGAAGTCTGAAATCAGGGTGTTAGCAGGGCCCTGCTCCTTCTGAAGTCTGTAAGGGGAAATTTATCTTGCCTCTTCCAGCTTCTGCTAGCACCAGGTGTTTTTTGGCTTGTAGCTGCATAACTCTAATCTCTGTCTCAGTCTTCACAAGGCCTTTTCCTCTTCTCCCAGTCTTTCCTTTGTGTGTCTGTTTTCAAAAAAATATTTTTTATTTAAAACTATAGCTAATGCACAACATTATATCAGTTTCAGGTGTACACCATAGTTGTTCAACATTTATGTACCTCAAGAAGTGATCACCATGATAAGTCTAGCAACCATCTGATCCTGTACAACCTGGTCACCTGTGCTAGGCGCTCCAGGAGTGTCCCTTGTGTGGGTTGTGTGTTCCCTCCTGTTATAGTTGAGCTTTGATTGCCTTTGGCACATCAGTGGGTGGGACTGACCCTCAGGCTGACTGGCTGTGGGATTTAGCCACATCCACTACTTATGAGCTGCTGTGCAGGGTGTGGGGGGAGGTCTATCACATGGAGCAGGATTCCCCCAGTGGGCTCTGGTGCCTGTTGAGACCACTCCTCAGGCGTGCCACTTGTGGGGCTAGTTGGATGGTGCTCTGCTGTACTCTGAAGCCAACCTCCCAGTATATCAGTTCAGCGGCTTCAGCCCCAATAAAACCTTGTGCAGCATGGAGTTGGGTGTGGCAGGGTCTTAATGAGTCACAAGGGTGCAGCAAGTGGAGCCCACTAGGCCAATCAGATCCAGATTTGGTCACCAGCATGGGGGAGGGCTCAACACAGGAAAGATGGCACCTGCCTGCCAGCTGCACAAGAGGAAGACACAGGGAAAATGGCGATTATCTTCCAGCCCTCACCCGAAGCCAGATAACTCAGTCTACCCCCCTTTCATCTCTGAGGCCCTTTGAGTCACTATCCCTCCACCAGAGCCCAGGGTGAGTGCCTGCAAGTGAGTCTGTGTGGGCCCTTTAAGGAGATGCCTGGATTTCCCTCAGCTTTCCATCCTACCCAGATGGTCCAAATCCCCACTGTTTTTCTCAGCCAGATGTTGTGTGGGCTCTTATTCCCAGCACCAGTACTCTGGTCTGGGGATCTTGGTGTGGGGTTGGACTCCGTTGCTCTTCTGTGGGGAACCTCTGTGGCTGAGCTATCCCTCCCAATTTTCATCTGCCACATTGAGGTTTGGGGCTGGCCCATTTTGGGTTTCCTCCCCACCACCAGTCTTGACGTGGCTTTTTTTTGTCATATCCTTAGTTATAAAGCTTCTGTTCAGCTAGACTTCAGATGGTTCTCCACGTTCACCATTATACAACTTAGATGTAATTTTGATGTGTTCACGGGATGAGGCAAGCATAACATTTATGAACTCTTCCATCTTGGAACTCCTCTTTTTCTGTGTGTTTTTTATAGGGACCACTTGTCATTGGATTTAAGGCTCAGTCAGATAGTACAGAATGATCTCAACTGGAGATTCTTAACTTAATTACATTTTAAAAGATCTTTTTGCTAAATAAGATCATAGTCAGAGTCTGGGGTGTGGACATATATTTTTTGGTGGCCACCATTCATACCACTGTAGCTGCAGTATCATATTCACTACCATTGATTCATAGTTGAAGAATTGAAATCAGGTCATTCAGATTCTATTTTTCTTGTTTTTCCTGTGGGAAGCAGTTTAGCAGGGTCTCCCTATTTCCTGAGTTCCAGTATAAGCTCTGTTATTTCACAGGTTCATGGATTTGAGCATGTGACTAAACCTCTCTCTACCTCAGTAGTCCTTCTCAGTAAATGAGTACTTCTAACAGTACCTACCTCAGAAGTTAGTTAAAAGAATAAAATGATTTAATATCTGAAAAACACTTAAGATTTGGCACATGATAATTATTTGAAAAACAGCAGCTTCTGTTCATAGAAAAGGAATATTGTACCCTTAGGGAGTAAGAGAAGGGGGTGCTTTATGGAGGTGATATTTAAAATAAAATTTAAAGCATAAATGGGAAGAGATGCTAAGCAAAGAAGAACATTTGAAAAGGTAGACAGGTTTTAAAAAATTTTGCATGGTTAAGAAATAAAGTGAGGGAGGGCTGGTCGAGTGGCGTAATGGTTAAGAACTGTCTTGGGATGCCAGAGGGCCCCGATTTGGATCCCACATATGAGGGCCAGTGACACTGCCCTCCACAGCTAAGATGCTGAACAATAGCTCGACCTGGAGCTGGGCTGCCAAGAGTCGCCTGCGACGGTGTAGGCTGCAGGCCCTGTGGCAGTGGGTTGCCATGGGCTACCGTGTGTAGCCAGCAGCCAGCATGAGCGGCCAGCAGCCGCAGTGAACGGCCGTCCAGAAGCCGGCGACTGATCTGCCTTGCCCGGGAAGAGCGCAATGATGGTGCCAACTTGGGCCAGTGAAGCAACGTCCTCCACAACTAGACTGAAGAAAAAAAGGACAGCAACTTGTCTGTTCCCCTTCCCCCAATTCCCCAACTTGTCTTTCCCATCCCCCCAATTTCCCAATAAAAATCTTAAAAAAAAAAAAAGAAAGTGAGGTAGAAGGTGAGCCTGGAAAAATCTTCCTAAGGAAGAACCTCAAAATGACCCCTGAATCTTCAATCTCTCTTATATCCCATAGCTAATGGCTTGATCCTATGGATTCAGCCACTTACATATTTTTCACTGTCCTGGTATCTTTATTACCAATTGCCATTACATAGATCTGGTCCCCATTAAATCTTTCCTAGGATATTACAATAGCTTTCTATATTAGTTAAGACT